ACCACGACCCCTTCTGAACCCAGCCTGGACTTCTGGCAGTTCTCTGCTGATGTGCTGTTCCAGTTGTTTTTGGATAAGAAATAAGAGATTGTCAATTATTTTATCTTGCTTGAATCCACAGTCATTGTCAGTGATTTCATCTTGCTTGGGTCCATAATCAGCACACTTGGCACCAGCAGCCAAGAAATCAAAAGACATATTGCACTGGGAAAGTCTTCTGTCAGAGACCTCTCCAAAGTACTGAGGAGCAATGATGTCAGTTTGAAGACTAAGGTGCACCTACCATGATCTTTTTAATTACTTACTATGCAACTAAAAGTTGGAAAATGAATAAAGATGATAGATTGATGCCTTTGGATTGTACTGTTAGGGAAGAGTATGGAATATTCCATGGACTACTTACTAAAAGAATACACAAATATGTCTTAGAACAAGGATAGTGTAAGTTTGTCATAAATGCTTTGTGCATATTGTTAGGAGGGGCCAGTCCTTGGAAAAGGACGTCATGCTTGGCAAAGTAGAAGGTCCTCAAAGGAGGGGAAGATCCTCAGCAAGATTAATTGACACAATGACTCTAACAGTGGCCTCCAGTATGTCAGAGATGATTAGGATAGCATGGGATATGACAGATTTTAGAGCTATTTTTCGTAGGGTCACTGAATTATAGTCAACAGCACAATGCATCACAAATTACAGGCAGCCTTCAATTACACATCAGCATAATAAAAAATCTCCCAAGCTCGGATAAATTACATCATGGAAAAGATTGAAGTTATCAGTGATTTTATTTTACCTGGATTCATAATCAGTGTGCATGAAAGCATTAGACAAGAAACTAAACTGTGTACTGCATTTGGTGACTCTTCTGTATAAGACCTCTAAAAGTGTTAATAGGACAAAGGTATCACTTTGAGGATTAAAGTGTGCCTGACCCAAGCCGTAATATTTTCAGTTCTTTTATATGCCTATGAACACTGGACAGTGAATAAGATAGACTAAAAAAAAGCATATTTGAATTATCATGTTGTTGAGTAATACTGAGTGTACTACTTAAAGCCAGAAGTACAAACCAGTGTGTCACAGCCAATATACCCCTTACTAGTGAAGGTAATGAGACTGTGTCACATATTTTGGGCTCATTACCAAGAAGTTCATTACCTTAGAATGACATCATACTTGGCAAGTAGAGAATCAACTAAAAGAAAAAAGAAAAAGTAAACGTAAGTTTGATAGACAGACATGGAATGTTTACAACAATGGCCTTGACATAGTGGTGGTTGTGAGGATGGTGCAGGACCTGTTTTGTTCTGTGGTACGTAGGATCACTCTGAATGGAAACTAACTTGATGGCACCTGATAGGGAGGGAGTCTTTTTCTTGACATCTAGAGACAATTGCTTGTAGATTGTCCTTTCCTAGTAGTAGACAAGACAAATGTACTTTGCTGTGGAGCAGCTCCTCACAGCTTTACACTTGAGTCAGGCATTTTATTGTTAATATTTTGTTTACTGGGCAAGAAAAATCTCAAAATCAAAGATATCTGTTACTGGTTTGCAGGAGAGGAAGACCCTCTATGAGATGGATTGATTCAGTGACTGGGATAATGGAGAGGGTGTTGGAAACAGTGAGATTGGCGCAGGATAGAGCAGAGTTTAGGGCTGTTGGACATATGGTCGCTATGAGTCACAGGCGAATTGACAGCACATAACAATGACAACATAACAGTAATCAATGCAGAACATCACTGGGACATAAAAATGTGATTGAAGTCTAGTTTTGTTCTTGGAAAAAAGAGGAAGAAATGTTTTCGCTATTCTTTGAATGATGGCGAAAGGTTAGGAAGTAATGTGTGTGTGTGTGTGTGTGTGTGTGTGTGTGTGTGTGTGATTAATTTGGAAGCAAGAGTGGCATCTACTTCTTAAACAACATACCTCCAGGAAATCTTATGAACTTTGATAAATGCCAGTAGTTGTAGATGGGCTTCAGGCCTTTTGTTCATAGAGTTGCTATGTGTTGCTCAACTCGAAGGCAATTAACACACACACATATTTCATTAAATACTGAAATTAAGGTGAACATTTATTAGAAGGACTAATGTAGTCCCTTCCTTATAAAACCCCCAGACCACTGTTGCCAAGTCCGTTTTGATCCTGTAGGACAGGGTAGAACTCCCTCACATTGTTCTCAAGGCAGCAAAGCTTACAGAAGCAGAATGCCACGTCTTCCTCCCAGAAACGGCCAGTAGAGTCAAACCTCCAACCTTTTATTTAGCAGCTGCCATCCACTTTAGAAACTACCCCACCAGGGCTTCTTTATTGTCACAAAAAAGAATACACGTTGTTCAGAGATTCACAGGTTGTGCTGTAGGCACAGGGATAAGTAAGGATTGAGTCAGTTTAGGTTTTTTTTAACCCCTGTATTTTGAAAGTTCTGGGTTTTATGTTAACAAGAGGAAAAAGCAGATGTTTTTTAGAAGTGGGGGAAGTATATTCCTGAATATTAGTTATATTAAAATTTATGCATGTCTTGAGCAAAACTGTAAACTAAGTAGTCTGTATGCATTTAGAAAAAAAGAATTACTGCTAAGGCCAAGCTGTGCTAATCTAAACTCAGTTTCATATTAGATTGACTTGTAAGTTAGGAAATTGATTCCCAACTGGTGAATGGGCTTGGATGTGCCAAAACTTTCCACTGGGTTCTAGGAGTACCCAGAGCCCTGGACCAGTTGCTTCTTGTCTTCAATAGCTTTCTCCTTTATACTTCTCAATAAATACTGGCATTTTCTATTTGTGCCATAATTGGAAATAAATAGGAAAACTGCTAAAAAAATATTACACACTGACTGTATCTTGCTTTTAGTAAAGCAAAAATCACACAAGAAGAACTGTAATGTGGGTAATAATAATTCCACTACATATCAAAAGAGCAAAACAAACTGGATATATATTAATATAACCAATATTGAAATCTGTCTTTTAAATTGAAAAATTCTTCTAAGTATTTAATTGTGTAAGCATCACATAGCACAAAACTTATCATTAAAAATAATCATTTCTGTTACATTTCAGAGAACAAATACGATTATCTTCCAACAACTGTGAATGTTTGCTCAGAACTGGTTAAGCTTGTTTTCTGTGTCCTTGTGTCATTCTGGGTTATAAAGAGAGGTAAGTCTTGAAATTGTGTTATAAATCTATTAAAAATAGTTCGAATATTTTACTCCTGAAAGGAACACACTATATGATTTAGTCCATTAACTTTTCCTATGAGGAAGCTAAGATGCAAACAGGGTATTAGTGATAGGTATCATTATTGATATCTGTGGAACCAGATGGCATTTATTAATGTTTTAGCATTCATAATCTAGTTGAATGGTTTGGTAAAGCGAAAAACAAGGAAGACTGCAAGATAGATTGACACAGTGACTGCAATTATGAGGATGATGCAAGATACGTGTTTTGTTCTGTTGTGACTTGATGCCACCTAACAACAGTGGTAATACCTAGTTGGATGTTCACAACGCTTAGAAGTAAGCATGTTGTTAGATTCCATCAAGTACATTTGGACTCACAGTGACCCTGTGTACGACAGATTGAAACACTCCTGTATTATAGGCAGCTAAATAGGTCAGATTAGAAGGGTTGCCTCCTGGATTCCACTGTGTCTTCCCCTTATTGCACCTAGTTTGCTGTTCCTGTGATGACTCATACAACAAGTTAGTTTTCATTTCAGTGAGCATTACTGTGCTACTGATTTGATCCATTGCAGTTTGTTTCTGTGCCATTGAATGAACTGCCGCTGACACTCCAATGGGTTTTCAAAGACTGTATATCACAAGGAACAAGACTGCCCATCTTTCTCCCCTGGAGCAGCTGCTAGATTCAAATCTCCTACCTCTAGGTTGGCAGCACAGCTCATCAATTCCTATTTTCAGTAGAGGCATCGGTGTGGTGTACTGGAATCAGGAACCTATCTGGGCAGATTAACTTCATGCCAATTCAGTTTTCTCAGATATCTAACAGAAATGCTAGTCCCTTCCTCAAATGATAAGTGATACTTATAAAGTAGTAAGCGTTTTGTAAAATATATAGACTCCCAGTACTAATTGCCACAAAGTTGATTCAAACTCATGGCCACCCCATGTATGTCACAGTGGAACTATACACAATGGAATTTTCAGTGATTGGTTTTTAGCAATAGAACATCAGATTTTCTTTTGAGGCCCATCTCAATGACTTTGAACTGCTAACTTTTTGGTTCACTACTGAACATGTTAACCATCTGTGTACCACTAAGGGGTTGTGCTTCACCTCAGCTCTCCAATTATTGAATCTTCACTCCGTCAATTTGATCTGCCTTCCCAACATGTAGTAAATGTAGGATTTAGAGCACAAAACTTGCTCAGAAAGATGTGCTTTACGTTGAAGAGCTGTACTCTGTGTAGAATTTCTCGTTAGTGTTCTTAATCCCATGGTATCCATGTGGTGTCTGTGGGATTTAAACAGTCTGCCTTCATTTTCTATCTTTTCATTTTGCAGTCTTTGTGTTAAAGTAACTTCCTAAATGTTTGTAAACCTGAAGAAGAGACAGTAACTCATACTAGGATCAGTAAAAGCCCACTCTCTGTTGTTGTTGTTGTTATTGTTGTTGTTGGTAAGTGCCGTCGAGTTGTAGACGATTCATAGCGACCCTATGAATGAAAGACCTGAGCACTGGTCATAGAGTTTCCAGAGGCAAGCCGTTTTGGAAGTGGATGCAATTTCTCCTTCCAAGCTTGTTTTAATCAGGAGCTCCACCAAACACTGTCCACCGTAGCCATTATCACTTTTGACACATCACTGTCACAGTGTTTAACATCGCAGCAACCATGAGTTACCTCTGTACAGCAATGCACAGACCAGTGCTATACCAACTAGAATAATGTTTGACAGAAAAACAATTTGAACCAGGCTACTCTCTGTAGATATATATATACCCACACACACACATATATCCTCTTTTTTTTTTGTTTTAAAGATTTTTTTTTTTAATTTTATTATTCTTGTGTGAGTGTACCGTCAAATCAGATTCTGACTAGTACAGGAGGAGATTGTCCCTTCTTTCCCAGCAGAGCATCTGGTGGATTTGAACCATGCGCCTCTGGGATTGTAGTTGCAGCTCCTTACCACTAGGCCACCAGAGCTCCCCTATATATCCTCTTTTTATGTTCCCTTTCATACATTCTCCGTGAAGGTGGGTGTAAGGGAGTCTCTCAGCATGAAAACTTAATCTTTTTTCTATCTGTTACTTGTTTAACAAAAGATCTCCTTGGTCTTCTATTCTCAGAGTAGTTAGAGAAAACATGCATATTCTTAGTCACTGTGTTATTTCTAGTATCTTAAGTTAACAGGAGTTTTAAATCTTAGCTTTTCTCAATGTATCATTGTCAGTCACAGAGCACAGCAGTAAAATCCTTTTATTGTGTGTTTTCTTGAGGTTTATAGTCACTTAGAGGCAAATTCATGAATCCCTTTAGATAAAGTTATGTCAGGTTTTTTTTCCTCTAAAAATTAGAGCATGTTCATCAAAATCATTTCTTTATCACTGTGTTTCTTTCTTTTATAAGATCATCAGAGTAGAAACTTGAAATGTGCTTCCTGGAAGGAATTCTCCAATTTCCTCAAGTGGTCCATTCCTGCCTTTCTTTATTTCCTGGATAACTTAATTGTCTTCTATGTCCTGTCATATCTTCAGCCTGTAAGTAACTATGACAAAGAAAATAGCATTGTGATAACACAGACTTCAGAACTGTTCTTTCCTTTATTTTCCTTTGAGTTCTTAATTTCTCATTACTCTTGCTAGCTTCCTGCGGTTTTCTCAGAATCACCTAAATACTGAATTACCAATCAGCTTGCCAGTTTCTCCCACTGTTAAACATTATTGTATATTGAATTGTATTACTACTGTATTAAACTGTGCTGACCGCTTTGGAGAAATAGTTCTGTTGGCCCAAGGTATCAGAGCCATCCCTCTATATCCTTCAGCTTTCTGCCTTGTTTTCTGAGCCTGTCTGTCTACCAACATCTAATAGTAACTTCAGCTTCTAGGACTTCCGTGACTAATTCAGAAAATTATATTTTCTTTGTACCTCTCTTTCCCTTGTTGTAATGGAAGTTATATTCATGGGAGCTCTGGTGGCCTAGTGACAAGAACCTGCACTGCAGTCTCAAAGGCATGCGGTTTGAGGCCACCAGCTGCTCTGTGGGAGAAGGATGGGCAGTCTCCTCCCATGTGATTAACTGCCTCCAAAAACCCACCAGAGGGTCAGCTATGAGTCGGTTCTGACTCAACAGTAAACAACACACAGCATACATATTCTGTTTGTATGTTTGTTTTTTTCTTTAATCCTATTACTGAATAATTTATTTGAGTAGGAATCCTATTCTACCCATTATAAATACCATATGGAATATTTCTCATCATCACTCTCAGCACCCTTTGTTCTCAAATTGGAGTGCCATTAATAATTGGAAGCAACATATGGTTTTCTGCCTTTAGTCATTATTTAATTTGAGTCATGTGCTTATTTTCTTCCAGGATTTTATAAAATCAACCATTATGTTCCATTTGTTGCAAAAATGTTTTGAATTTCTTTGAAAAAATAATTTGAGCCATTTTTATCATAAGCAGGTTTTAATTAGCACTAGTCCTCCATGAGGAGCCTGTTAAATATCACCAATTCAGCTTCAAAACAGGATGAAAAAGACTGCTCGGTAGTGTGTGATGGAAATAATAACTTACCATAAACAAAAGTTTGACCCTTTCCCCACAATTCAGAAGGTGTTTTACTGGCAAGTCCCAGCTATTCCAAGTTTCAGTTGCCACATTTGTAAAGTAGAACAATGACACTGTACAGGCCCAAAGGCAGGACCCTGGCACAATAACCCACTGTAAATTTCTTTAAGCTCTCTAATCTGTATTATTAGTATGTGCTTAGTTCTTTTAAAATTTCTACTCCCTAAATTCTTTTTTTCCACTTCCCCCACCCCTTTCTTTCCAGATCTTAGAATCCTCTACCCAGCAGATTTCTTGTTCTTCTTCCAGGTTCTCTTCCTTCCTGATTGTGTATAATCACAGGTTTTACAAAATATTCCAGTGGCACACTCTGGGTATTGCTATGTGCACATTCTGCTGTATGTAATTAAGTAGACATGCCTGGGAGATTTGGTGCAAAGAGTTCTGTTATTTTATTGATAATATACTACTTAAAAGTTTGGAAAGAGTGTTTAGTCAGTCTGCTTGCTTAGATGCATTTGTACTGCCATTATTGTGATTACCTTGGCTCCTCTCCCCACGCTCTTACCAGGCACTTTTTCTTTTCCTCATTGTCTCTTAGTCTAAATAAGTTCTCATGCATTTGTCTATAGAGAAAAACCTCAAAACGTCAATTCCCATAGAAATTCAGTAGAAAACAATATTTCAGTGCTCTTGGAATTAGCACTAGACGTTAACTGAACTTAATCTTACTTCTTTTATTCACTGTGTGTTAGCCATACTTGCTATCAATAGTGGGTGCATAGAGAAGATGGTAGTTACTTGGTTTAATCAACTTAAAATCAGGTGAAATAAGATCAATAGCACTTGTGTGAAAAGTAATTACTAATATTGTCAGAAGGCATGTCATCAAGAGGGGACCTTCTCCTTCTAGAAGGACATCATATTTGGAAAAGTAGAGAGTCAATGAAAGAGAGGAGGATCCCCATTAAATATGGGTTAGTACACTGACTGCAGCAGAGGACTTAAAAACACAGCGAAGATTGTGAGAATGGCACAGGTTCGGACAGGGTTTCTGTCAGCTGTACATAGTGTGGCTATGAATAAGGGGCAACTTGATGGCACCTGACAACAGCACTGTTTTACATAAATCCAGAGAACTCTTAAAATATCAGTTTAGTATTGTGTCACTTACATTGAACCAACAAAATGTATTTTATTACCTAGGATAGCACAACTCAGAACTCAAACTCATTTCTGTTGAGTTTGAACCGACCCATAGCTGACCGTTCATTAGGTTTCTGAGACTGTAAGTCAGGTGGGGGGAGATACCCCTCTAAAATAACATCACATGGAAGGAGCTTGCTCACTAGAATAATAAAGGCAGTTAAAAAATATATGCCACCATGTTTTTAGCATTTAAGTGGGCCTGACAGTACCTGCCCTCTATCTAGCCATGTTGTTATATGCCCTTGAATGAAAACTGCCTCATAACTGAACCTCCAGTGGGTTTTCTGAGGCTGTAAAATGCAAGAGAGGAGATTGCCCATCTTCCTCCCAAAGAGCACCTGGGTGGGCTTGAATCCCCTATCTTTGGCATGACAGCACAATTTCTTACCACTCAGCTACTAGAGCTCCCTGTGTCTAGCCATAGAAGCAGCATTAAGCACCTTTAAACACGTTGACCCCTTGAAAAGCATGCATTTTGTAAGCATGAACACATTTATTTTCAGACCTAAACCTTTACAGTGTTAGTACTACTAGATCTGCATAAACAGATTATTTTTCACAACCATTTGTTGAATTTAAACACATATTTTCAAAGCCTTTACAATAATTTGATCATATCTAAATAAATTTAACTAGCCATGAAAATGGAATCTAATCCTCTAGTGAAATAGCTGCCCTAGTAACCTCTTTGGGTTTTGACCAAAAAGCTTTTTTGTCAGCCAAACCAACAAGCTGGGAGATTTCTGAGGTCAGTACTTTGTTTGGATTGTAACTCTATCTTTTCTTTCTTTCTAGGCCATGGCTGTTATCTTCTCAAATTTTAGCATTATAACAACAGCTCTTCTATTCAGGATAGTGCTGAAGTAAGTAACTTGCTGTGAAAGCATATATCATACTTTCAAATGGCCAGCCTTGTTCAATCGATATACCCAGAGCAGTGAACCCACAGGTCACCAAGGCCAGCATTTCATTCCTCATTGGCTTTGTAGACTGAGAAAGTTGTTTAGCCCATCTGGGAGACTGCGCCTGCGCTAACCTGACCACATCTTCTGTAATTAAAAATAAAAGTTGTAGGAAAGATTTGAAGAACTCATAAAAAAAAAGGTACTCAGTAGGTTATAAAATTTGGTATCTGGAGTTCTAGTTCTGAATTTTGAAGAAAATATTCATGAGCTGCTTTTTTTTTTTTTAAGAATCTGCGTAAATGAGAAGCTAAGAGGTTCCTAGGATTATAAATACAGTTGTAGTTTGGAAATGATAAAGAGTGGTCAATTCTTCATTAAACTGCTTAAGAGGAGCACATGTTTTGTACTTTAACTGGCAGAGGATTTGCTTGAGGAACCTTAAATCTAGTTTTACAGTTTAGGCTAGAGAATGGTGATGTTGCTTTATGCCACTGAGACAACTGACACATAGCTGACCCTCCAATGGGTTTTGCAAGGCTATAATTGCACAGGAGGAAACTGTCCATCTTTCTCCTGCAGAATAACTGATTGATGCAAATCATCACCTGCCTTTGAGTGGGCAGCATAACTCTTTAAATTTTCCAAAATAGTATTACTCGTCTTCACTAGCTCCAGGAGGACCACTGAATAGTGTTAACAGTTTTAGGTAAATAGACTCTGCTTTGAAGGAAAGACCAGGAAGTCTTAAGTAACAGGGTGATACCAGATGTGGGTCCTTATCTACAGTTTAACTTATTATATAAAACCTAGATGATAAAAATAAAGGTACCTTCTTGTCATACTTGTGGTGGTTCTTTTAATTTTACATTTTCTTTCTCTTTTTGATGTCTTGTTTCTCAGTGTGCTCTGTGAGAGTGTGCTTTTTCATAATTTACATGTTGAGAAGGAAGGACTTGCACGTTGGCCTAAATCAAATCCATTATGTGACGAAGCCATTGCTCCCTGATGTGTAGCGTTGCTGAAATATTTTCTTTCGCCCTGAGAAGACGTGTAATTTAATAGTTAATGTGAAAAACAAGCAGAACAATGAACATCTCTAGTTCAGTTGAAATGTTAAGGAACATTGAAATTTACTTTAGTTATTGTGGCCTTCATTTTATTTATGAATTGTGAATTATTAAACTAGCACTTTAAAGAATACTCTTTACTATGTTTTTTTTCCTATAATTGTATTTTATTAATTTTCATAAACATTTACAGAGATTTTGGGTTTCCATTCATTCATTGTTGCACTATTCTCTCTACCCTCCTCCCAGTTTGTTCTTGTCCAAATGCCACAGTGCTTGTCAAAGCCAGTTCTGATTAATCTTCTTTGTCAGTGTGTCCTTTGCCATTCCCTATCACTCCTCCCTGAGAGAGACTTCACCCTGAGTCATAAGGAAAAGGGGATGGCGTATTCTCTTAGCTACTTCCTGCTGAAAAGGGACGCTGTGGGTTTCAGGGTGAAGATCTTCTCTCACTACTCTAAAGGGTCCCTTTGGCAGTAGGAAACACATAGACTATTATGGAGATTGATTTTGGAATTTAGATGCACTCTTATTGATTGTGCTTGGCCGTACATGTTCATATCCTTGAAGATGTATCATGGGGGTGTTGCAACCTAGAAGACACAAATTTGACTAACAAGTTATAAGTACATGAGTCCAAAAATTATGGAAAAGTAAAAGAAAAGATTCTTTCATTGTTTTACAAACCCTCCCCCAGGTCCCCTCCACCATGTAGCCCTCGCTCTAGTCTCCTGTGATGACAGAAATACCTAGTTATATATCTCTTTTAAACAGTTTTCTCCCTCCTCTGTTTCAGTGCAGTATACATTATTTAACCCATCTTACTCAGTCTCTCCCCAACCCTAAGGACAGTCCCATTCTACAACAGTGGCGTCATGTAATATTTGTCCTTTTGTGACTGGGATATTTCACTCAGCATAATTTTTACTATGTTTTGAAGTCTTTGAAAATTGACAGGTAGCTCATTCTGAAGGATAAAAAATTGGCTTCTGAGAAAATGTGAGCAGTCATGTTTTCATATTGATTCCTATGAGAAAATTAGGAATGGATTTCCGGAAAGTGGGTCTAAGGAGGAGGAACTACAAGATGTAACAAAACACCACTTATTAGTAAGGGAACATACATCTCAGAAATGGACAAAATATAAATAAACTTCCTATGAACTGAAAATTTGTGAGTACACAAAGTATTGTGTTTAATGTATATAATATACAAGTGTTAGAAAGAAATTACAATAATTAAAATTGAATTTATCTGAGAGAAGATAAAGTGTGTAGATTGTTCCACTTGATATTGGCCAGAAGCCCTATACCTGCCCCATAGTAAATAGCTTCATTAAAATTTTAAGCATTTAAATACTTGCATTAAAAAGTTAACCAATTTTTTAAAAAAAATCTGTACACAAGACACATTCACTGCAATTGAGTTAGTTTCAACTCACAGCAGAACTCTGGGATTTTTAAGGCTATAAATCTAAGCAAGGTGCTACATCTTAAATCTTAACAGGAGGGAGCTGCCCTTCTTTCTCCTTTTGGACCTGCTAGTGAATTCAGAGTGCCAGAGACTTTTGGGCAGCAGAGCAATCCAGTGCACACTGCCTCCAGAACTCCCAGTACTATATGCAGTAGTGTTGTAAATTGAGAATATTTTATTTTTAATGTTCTGTTTTTAGAAGCAGGAATGGCATCCACTTCCTAAATAACATGCCTCCAGAAACTCTATGAACTTTCATAAATGTCAATAATGTCAATAGTTGTAGAGGGGCTTCAAGCCTTTTGTCCTTTTGTTCATATGGTTGCTATGAGTCGTGCTCGACTCGAAGGCAATCAACAACAACAATTACTGAATTATTATTTTTTTTAGCTAACATTGGTTTTATTTTTGCATACTTTAATTCTTAATCTTTGAAGTAATGGAATAGATTCTTATATGTGTGTTTACATTGATTTTAACATCTATTTGAATCTTATTATATTAAAGGAAGTTATCTGCATAAACATAGAAGCATTTCAAGTTGGTTGTTTCCGCAAGCACTAACTTAGCTCACTTTGTTAGTGTTAATTCTTTGAAAATCAGGTCTAACGCTATTTTAAATAGGTGTTAAAATGTAGCGACAATTACTACTGTCATATATGAGAATACCTTTTGAATGCTATCTTACTTACATTTTAAATCAATTTTCACTATTCTGTTTACTTGGTATGTCATATTCTGTTTTTCTTTACTGTTTAATCTTTTTTTTCTAAATGAATCCTTTTAATGTTTTACCATAAGCAAGGAAATTTTGGTCTAGGCAATGCAGTTAAAGCATCTGTCAATGCCTTTGACTTGTGGTCTTGGGGAAGAATACTGACTTTTCCTTGGACTGCTTGGAAAAAGTGCTCCTTAGAAGCAAAGATGGTGAAACTTTGTCTTACATACTTCTGGTATGTTGTTAAGAGAGTCCATTTCTTGGGGGAAAAAGCCATCATGTTCAGAAAGATCAAGGCTCAGTTAAGGAGAGGAAAAGCCTCAACCAGATGGATCAAGTGACTGTAACAGTGTGCTCAGGTATATCAGAGATGATGAAAATGGCACAGGATAGGACGAGGTTCAAATTCACAGGGTCACTGTGAGTTATAATACTTATCTAGACAACACCTAAAAACAGCAACAACATCATATATTCTTGATGTTTTTGCCATAAATAATTAGCTTTTCATTTAGAATAGTAAAATTACTGTCTTAATATCCTTGACCGCAGCAGAGTTGTCAAATACTTTTTTTCCATTCAGATAAAGAAAATGAGGCTATAAAAGAAGTAGAACAAATTAAGTGTAATTGCTAATTCAAGAAATATTTGAAGGAATTTGAGAGTGGGGGTACGGTGGGGAGGAAGGGAATTGAAGACAAACATCACTTTGGGAAATAATATCAAGCTGAACATTGAGATTTAGGAGGCAAAAGGTAATCAAGACACATTTTACAAAAGAGTATGTATGAGTTGCAAATAAAAATATTATGAAATGAGATGGGAAAAAATCATTAAATTTTGTGAAACATACAATAACTGTCTTGGAAGTTATGTTAAAAAACAGTTACTGTTTACACCAAAATAACAAAAAATGCTGCATAAATTGTGTAGGCATTTTCTCCAAAATCATTCACTCACTTGATAAATGTATATATTCTCCCAACTCTGCACTTGATCACTCTGCTGGTAAGAAATGTGTTGCATGTAATTTCTAATGCTACTAAGAAATATTTTTTTGAGAAAACAGTTATGTAGATATTCCACTTAAATTTTTTATGTTCTGCTTTTGTGTACTACTATCACCTAGAAGAGTTCTTACTGCACATAATTTTTAATTTTCTAGTCACTAGGAAAACTCAATGTAGGGAATCCTAAAGTAGAAACCAAAAGCAATTTAATTTAACTTGTTGTTATATAGACTTGTTGAGATTTAGGGCCTCAGAAACCCATTTGGGGATCAGCTGTGAGCCAGTACCCACTCAATAGCAATGAATTTTTGTAGAGAGTTTCCAAATTGCTCAACAGTTTTCCACATACAGTTTTTTAATTTATGTAATCATATTTGTTGTTGTTGTTGTTATATGCTATCAAGTCACCTGTGGATCATAGTGACCCTATGTGCTACAGCCCTTAACTCTGCCCTGTACTGTGCCGATTTTATTGTCTGTGATACACCTTATCCCCAATACCCCAGTCACTGAGTCAGTCCATCTCATCGAGGGTCTTTCTCTCTTGCACTGACCCACCACCTTCATACACCTATGTATATGCACATATCCATATAATAATGAGGTCACTTGATAAAAACATTTAGAAACAGACTCTTCTTAGTTTGTGGTTCTTTGGTAATGTGATCTTCTAACTCGGTGCATGCAGCTCTGAGCACCACTCAGAATGCTTTACACGAGCAACGCAGAGCATTAATGAACTGTTGCATGACTAAATTGTAGGAGCAAACTCCTCCACACGGAATTGGTGCTCATTTGTAAGAACTCATATGCTCAGCTAACTCTACGGACTACTTCTTTATCGGAAACAACAATATTCTCATTCTTAATGATTTTTATATGTACTACCTTAAATAAGTACTAATTTTACAGAAATTATTTTACTTAGTGCCTTCTATAGATAGATAGATAGATAAATTTTAAATTTATTTACATGAAAGTTTATAGAGACTTTGGATTTCCATTCATTCATTGTTGCAATGTTCTCCCTGCCCACACCTCCCCCCCATTTGCTATTCTTTTTGAAAAGTAAAAGAAAAAATTATTTGTTATTCAATCCCTTCCCCCAAGTCCACTCCACTATGCTACCTTCATTTGGGACTCCTGACATAACAATAATATCTAATCATGTCAGTGCCTTCTAAAGGGTGTTTGTGAAGATCATTATTATTTGGAAAGTTTAAGGTAGTCAGCATTGAAGCTAAAAAAACTATAGATGATATCTTTGCCTCATTTGTCTATAACATACAAGGATTGGTTTTTGTATACTAAGCATTCAGTTTTCATTTCTGCGTTTGTCCACTCATATTCCTTTCTACTACTTTATATATACCTGCTTTAGAAATTAAGTGACAATTTCACAACTTTTGGTTGAAAGCTCTACTAACCCTTTCTCTAAATTCTAGATCTGGTTACTTGAGAATTATATACAATCTGAAGACATGATAGTTTGCCAGATTTACAGATACATAGATTGTGTGACAGTTGGCAAAGCACTAAACTCTGTTGAAGCATTGGGGAAATCTGATGCATCTTCTTATGTAGCTGAGAGCTCAAATTATGTGCTACAGGTGCATTGATTGAGAAGGATGATACAAAAGACCATGGCACACATGCTTTAAACCCAATACTGTCCATTATGACTCATAACAACCCCATAGGACAGAGTAGATCTGCCCCATAGATTTTGAAAAGGTGTAAATCTTTACTTTTTAACCATCAACTCAGATGTCATTTTCTCCTAAAAGCCACGGCTGACTATTGTTATTAGTTAATTTAATGGCTATCTCCCCATTAAAGTGTAAAATTCTGAGGTCAGAGGTCAAGTCTGAAATCGCCAAGTGGCTGACACATAGTGGCTGTTTATTAAATACCTGTTGAACTGAATAAATTTACAAATTGACATAATACATATCCTCTACATCTCACCTATTTTTCCTCCCTTACCCCCTTTTAAAAGAATCGTTATAAACTATGAAACACTGCCTCAAAGACCATTTTTCCCCCATTACCTACTCAGCCAGCAACTTGCTGAATAATAATCTATAATTAGATCATGGATCCAGGTGCTAGTTATTCCCTAAATCTTTCTTAGCCCATGAACACCTTTCATGATGTGACCGCTTTGAAGAATCTTTCCAGCAGGGGAAAATTGCCTATATACAGAGATTTGAAAAACACTACCAGAATTCACATTCTTGTTACTCATCCATATACTTTCTGGTTTATGTACACCAGGTAAAGAGTCCTTGTTCCAACATTTCCTGGCAAATAATAGGTTTTTCAGACAAATAGATAATAACTGTATAATAATAATAATAATACTGTCTCAGCATAAAATCACCTCTGGAAGTAAAAAAATATGGTTAAACCTATGGATTTCACAGAAGGCTACAAAGAGGAGGCACGATTCACTGGTGTTAAGTGACAGTTCTTATGTAAGTGAATAAAAATGATGCCAAGTTTAAGAAGCAGAGGCATCAACAGGTGTCCTTGAGCTTGAATTGTGGAGGATTAGTGTATAGTTTATCCACTTGTCAGCAGAAATTATTGATACTCAAAAGAACAGTAGTAAAATCTCACTTTTCATCTTTGAACAGGCGGCACCTGAACTGGATCCAGTGGTCCTCCCTCCTGATTCTGTTTTTGTCCATTGTGGCCCTCACTGCTGGGACTAGCACTTCACAACATGATTTGGCAGGACATGGATTTCATCATGATGCTTTCTTTCGCCCATCCAATTCCTGCCTGCTTTTTGAACAAGGGAGCCCTAGCAAAGACAATAGCACACCAAAGGAGTGGGTGTTTCCTGAATCTAAGTGGAACACCACAGCAAGGATTTTCAGTCACTTCCGCCTTGGCTTGGGCCATGTTCTCATTATAGTCCAATGTTTCATTTCCTCAATGGCCAATATCTATAATGAAAAGATATTGAAAGAAGGGAACCAACTCACCGAAAGCATCTTTATACAGAACAGCAAACTCTATTTCTTCGGCGTCCTATTTAACGCACTTACTTTGGGCCTTCAGAGCAGTAACCGTGATCAGATTAAGAACTGTGGATTTTTTTATGGTCACAATGCCTTTTCGGTAGCCCTGATTTTTGTCACTGCATTCCAGGGTCTCTCAGTGGCTTTCATCCTAAAATTCCAGGACAACATGTTCCATGTTTTGATGGCCCAGGTCACAACTGTCATCATCACAACAGTGTCTGTGCTGGTGTTTGACTTCAGGCCCTCCCTGGAGTTTTTCCTGGAAGCCCCATCAGTGCTACTTTCTATATTTATTTACAATGCCAGCAAGCCTCAAGGTCTGGAATATGGATCAAGGCAAGAAAGGATCCGAGACCTGAGTGGCAGACTTTGGGAGCGCTCCAGTGGGGTAAGTTGTGATGACACTGCTTTTTGACCTGTTCTCATGTCCCAGTGTGGTTATTCAGAAATAATTTAAAAAATCTGATTTTTCCAAGAATGTACTGGATATCTATGACTTAGACATCAACCAATATTCCTTGGACTCATGATGATGTGTATAAGGGCTCATAAGGCCATGTGATAAATGTTTCTAAGTATAGAGGAAAACATTTAATATAGACGTTCCATCACGTCCTCAAGTACCTTATGAATAGTTATGTCATAGAACTGGATGACACTTCACAAAGTATCTAGTCCAGACTCCTTGGTTAAGCATGTTAAGAAACCAATTCAGAGGCTGAATATTTTACTGCAAATAAGTAAGAACTAGCATTAGACCCCTGAGGTCTGAATCCCAGTCCACAGCTTTTTCCATGCCTCTGTAGTAGAGAAGCCTCATTCATAGGAAAACTTGATCTTATACCTTGTTAGGTCTTGTTAGATGAAAACTGACTCATTAATTCTGTTGTTGTTGTATACCATCAAGTCAAAACAGACCCATAGTTGATCCTCTAGTGGGTTTTCAGAGACAGTTTAATTGAATAGGAGGAGATTACGCATCTTTTTCCTGCAGAGAAAGAAGCTGATGGGTTTGAACCGCATGACTTTGGAATGGTAAGCGTAGCTCCTTACCACTAGGCCACCAGAGTTCCCAGATCTGTCATTACTGAGAGGGGCTAGAAAGCATTATGCTGATTAAACTAAATCTTTTGAGTAGAATATTGCATAAGACAATTATGGTAAAAAAAGAAGGCTATCTAGTAAGATGTGTATAAAAATCAAAAGCAGGAATACAAGGAGGGCAGGGACGCTGACGATGTGGGGGGAGGATATCATGTGATCATCGAGTCTTTGATCTACTTTTTAAAGGAAAGCCAATGTCTTTCTCACCTTTTAGTTAATTTTCCCCTCAAGACCAGCAGAGGGTACTCTTGCTCATACTGTTAAATTTGAAATACAAGTTCTCAGTGCTTTTCACTTTTTTTATTATATCAGGATACTTCTAAAATTAACTTTCCAAGAATTTAAGTATTTATTAAATTCCATTTAACCTAATTACATTTATTCAGGTGTGTGTCATTACACTTGGCGAACATCCAATTGCATGTACTTTGAGGATTTTCTTTTTTTTCTTTAAAGAAATAGCCTCTCTCCTTTTGTTTGGTATGGTGGATTGGGTGTGTTGCACTGCTGAACCAAACATGGCTCCTCTAGTGGTTAGAACTCACCTGCAGGCTCAGGAATAAAGACAGACAGTCTCCTCCCTAGTGATTTACAGCCTTTGAAAGCTCAGTGGAGAAGGTAGCTGCGAGTTGGTTTCAACTCCACCATAGTGAGTTTTTTTTTTATTAAGAGCTTTAAAGGGAAGCTCTGCCAGTGAAGTCTGCAGGGAATTGTGCCACTAACCCAAAGTCCACGCCTTTCTGCAGCTCTGAATCTGCTGGCAACTCCACAGGAGAAAGATGGATAATCTCATGGGAGATTCATAGTCTTGGAAACCCATTAGAAGGTCAGCTATGAGTTGGTTCCAGCTCGCCTGCAATGAGAAAATGACTAAAGGAACCCTGGTGGGGGCATGGCTAGAGCATGTATTGATTTACACCTGCTAGCAGTCAGCGTCCGTAAAGACTGATAATCTTGGCAACCCTAGGGAGCAGTTCTACCCTGTCCTGCAGTGTTTTTAGGAACTGGTGGCAAGTTTGAGGCATTAAGAGATAGCTTTAAAGACTCTAAACTCCAGTTCTTGCAGTAGTGGACTACAGGTAGGATACAGGTAAGTTAGACCGAGAACGAAGTTCAGGGTTCAGGCTTTATAGACTTTTTGTAGTGGGATGGTGGGCTCAGGTGCCCAGGCTGCTCAGGCAAGTGGACCAGCAGGCTTGACTGAGCATGCTTCACTCCTTTCCCAAATACTTTCCCTCACCCGCCTGCCTCTACCTGTCCCTCTGGCCTCCATCAGCAGCCTCAACAGTAGTAACAGTAATTAGAACTATCAGAAGCAACTTCTATAAGGTTTTAATGTGTTATTTACAGAATATCCAAATCATTTAACCCCCTGGATCACAGAATATATTGTAAACATTAAGCAGTGCATGTTGGTGATGATGTACCATTGAGTCGGAACCAACCCATAGCTGACCATCTGGCAGGTTTGCAGAGACAGTAAGCCACATGGAAGGAGTTTGTGAATTTGAACCATGTACCTTTGCATTGGCTGAGTAATTCCTTGCCTTATCGAGATGGATTGAGAAACACAGTGACTGCATCAGTCAGATATGATGAGGATGGCACAGGATAGGACAGGTTTCAGATCTGTTGTTCATAGGGTTACTAAGAGTTGTACTTGGCTCGATAGCATGTAACAACAACAACAAACTATAAATTTCGCCATGCATACCTACATTTTAATTAATTCTGTTGTCATCACTAAGTAATTTGAAAATTGTCTACCTCAGATTTTTTTAATTAATTACGGTTTGTATGTTTCTTTTAAGGATGGAGAAGAGCTCGAACGACTTACCAAACCCAAGAGTGATAATGAGTCTGATGAAGATACTTTCTAATTGATTCCTTTTTTTTCTTTATTTTTTTTTGATTCCTAAATAATTGGCAGCTGTAACAAATCTACTTTTCAAGTTGTCAGTATTTGTAATAGTCATCTTTTCACTTTGATAAATAATGTTTCTAAAACATAGTACTATTTGCACATATCTAACCATTCCTTAAACAGTCCTGCCCAAATCTTACAAAGTACTAAGGAACTGATAGGAGTCATAGAATGAGGACTGTGACAACAGCACAGTGTTTGTTAAGTCAGTGAGATATATTTGCAGATGTGTTTTCTTGGCTTCGAGGTTACGGAAAATTTCCAGTAATTATGTTAGCTGTAACCTATGCACATATAAACAGAGATAAGTTTGACATGTATTAATAATTATGTAGTACTAGTCTGCATGCCAGAGTCTTCCCCCCCTTTTTTTATAATTGTAAACATCTCCTTGTTTAATTTTGAAGCCATGACAGAACCAATTTTGTAATTAAGAATCACTAAGACTTCGTTAAATATTTGGTTGAAGGACCTAACTATCTGGAAACTCCCCTAGATTTGGGGATAAAATAATCTGTGCTAAATGTTTTGCTAAGGAGCAATTTTAAGAAACTCAAGGGAAATTTTCTTTTTAGTTCTTATGTTTTTCAGCATGAGTAAGCTTCAATTTACGTGTAACTTGTTTGTTCTCTTCGGTTGTATATCACAAAAATTTTGTTCTTATTCTTGCATTATTCCAGTTCAGAGGGCATTTAATGGTATTATTTATTAATGGAGCTTGTGACTATTTTGTGTCTTTCTGTTTTATTATCCTGTTCTCAAATGTTAAAGCTCTGACTTTAGAATCATATAATATTATTAATATGATTAATGCTTAAACATTCTCATCTTTGGAAGGGATCACTTTGCAAACAACTGTTACCTTTCATTCATACATTAATAGTGTTACTTTAAAAGCCAGTAAAATAAAGGACTTTACAATAATAATGTTCTACACTTACAATGCATGATTTTTTTTAAGTACTTTTGCATGCAGTAAATTAGCTTTATAAATAGCAGAGAAGTCAGGTAACCAAAAAAGAGAAACAGAAGTGATTTGCCCAATTCTACGCAGCTAGATTTCCTTAGCCAGTAGTCATCGTGTTTACAAGGTACCACATTGTGAATGTGAACTTCATGGCGTCATTCTAATGTGGCCTGTATATATTTATTCTCTTCTTTCCCTTAATTTTCATGCTAGTAACTAAAATTTAAAAACAAAACATACTGTAACTGTCAGCTTGATTCTGACTCATATTCACCCTATAAGGTAGACCTGCCCCACAGGGATTACAAATCCGTAAATCTTTACAGAATCAGACTGCCTTCTTTTTCTCCCACCAAACAAACTTAACCACTATACCAGCAGGTTTCCTTAGGTAAAAACACTGCAATTCATTTCATATTATATACCATATTTCCTCAAAATACATATTTGGGGTGGGGAATGTTTCAATCTTAAGGAGTTCCTTCAGAAAATGTAAGAATGAAGTTATCTTAATAGCTAACATTACTGTGTTCCATCAAATCAGAACCAACTCCTAGCTGACCCTCCAGCAGTTTTTCAGAGGCTATAAAATACATCACACACATGTGCCAATCGTGGTAATGGGCACCCATGGTGGACAGTGTTGGCTGGAGCTTCCCGACTAAATCAAGCCTGGAAGCAGGAGCAGCATCCACTTCCGAAATGGCTTGCCTCTGGAAACTCTATGTACGAACAGTGCTCAGGC